CCTGGGTGACAGAGCAAGAATCTGTCTCAAAAAAAAAAAAAAAAAAAAAAACAAATGCTGCTACTACCAAACCCGTGTAATATGCAGTACTATGAGTAAGGTGCAATCACTGCCCATTAGCAACAAGCTCAAGTTTCTCCCACTCCCAGTTGCTGGGAACACTTTCCTCATCTCTATCATATCATACAATAATTTGTTCTTCATAGCTGAAGACACTGCTGCCGACCAATTTCCTGATTCACTCCACCCGTGTGACCTATTGCTCTCTGGGAAGTGAGAACTTCTCAATCAGGAAGGTGGGGGAGGGAGGGTAGAAATCTGCAGCTGCAGGTTACCATTGACCTAAGAGGTTCTTTTTAGCAATTAAATTCCTAGCCTTAGAATCACCATCGTCATCTATGCTTAACTCTATGGGCTTCCTTCTGCTTCCCAGGTTAAAACTGAAGGCCGCTGCCAGGTATCCAGGCCCTTCCTTCATGAGCCCCAGGCACCCACCCAGTGCTTGCCACACATTCTTCTACCTTCCCTACTGCCCTCCCTCATTACCACTCTAACCATTTTGTCCCACTTTTTGCTCCTTTTTGGTCATGTTATTCTCCTCATCTGGATCCTCTCCCATCACCTTCTGCCAAATTATAACCCTCACAAAGCCTACTTATTTTATTCCTGTCACCCAGAGCAAGCACTCTGGTACTTGGCAGTGGGGAAACAGACTGCAGGAAGCCCTGGCCCCTCAGGAGCTAATGATTTAGGAACAGTTGGAAGACGTGGTAACCAAGGATGATACACAATACGGAGCCATAGCGGGATAATCAGCCACAACACGGGAAGGGTTGTAGTTGGGTAGATGGAATGAGCTTTTCAAGGGACTGCACAGTGAAAGAGAGAGAAGAGAGATGAGGCCAGAACAGGGAAAAGTGCCCACAGGAAGATTGTGTGTGTGTGTCGGGAGTGGGGGTGGGGTGTGTGTGTGGCAGAAAGGCAGCAAAAGAACCAACCAACAAACAATCACAAGCATTGGAAGAGATTGAGTCCAGGCCCTACCAAGCCAGGATAACTTTCTCCAGGTTTTTTTGTTTATAGAGATAGGGTCTTGGTATGTTGGCTGGGCTGGTCTCAAACTCCTGGCCTCAAGCCGTCCTCCTGCCTCAGCCTCCCAAAGTGCTGGGATTATAGGTGTGAGCCACCATACCTGGTCTTGCCTCCTCAATTATGAACACACAGGAGATGCTCAAAAGAGAAGTACAAGATCTCCCTCATACCTTGTCTACCCCACATTGTCTGCAGAATCATTGCCCATTAAATGTTATTGAAAGAATGAACACATGAAGAGTAACAGGTGATTTTGATGATGCCTCCTAAGTTGCTCATGTACACTCTTCTTTGCTGATTTCAATGGACAACATTTGTGTAGTCATTTATATTTTAAAAATGTTTCCCAGACAGTATCTATTTTGAGTACCAACAAACCCCAATGAAGTAGGTGAGACAGTTATGTTAGTTATAATTGCAATGCTAATAATTGCTAAGACTTAGTAAGTGCTTCCAATGTAAAAGTTCATTTATTCCTTATAGTAACCTACGTAGGGTGATCAACTTACTCAAGTTTGCCCAGGATTTTCCTGGTTTTAACACTGAAAGTCCTATGTCTGGGGCAACGTCTCTGTCCCCGGGAAACTAGGCGGGTTGGTCCTCATATTATGACATTGATAGTATTAGCAAGGACAAGTTTAATGTGAAGACAATGAAGCTTAAGTGCCTGGGCTTCACTTGCACAGGCCTTTCTTTTCAAAGACCCTGAGAGGAGACCTAATAATTCCTTACATGGTTATATAGTTTAGTAGTACTTCAAAATTAAAGTATTTCCACCACCATGGGTTGAGACCACTGTTTCTCCCCCCCTTTGACTTCCTAGACTTCACATACCTCCTCTTGCACTGGGTGATGTTGTACTGGATGCAAATATTTGGGGGCTACACCTAAGGAAAGTTGCCTTGAAAATACATTTTTCATCATCTTAAAAGATATACTTTGATGTGATTTCTGATTCTAAATAATCACTTTTATTCACAATTTTTACTTATTTTTCTGCAATGCAGAAAGAAATTTTAAGCCCTACAAAGCGTGGGCACCATCTCATCTTGCAGATGAAGAACTTGAGATACAAAAGCGCAGGGTCACATAGCTAGTAAGCGGCAGAGCTGGGTTCAAACGCAGGCAGCCTGGTCCAGAGCCTGCATAGTTTTAACCATTACTTTTTTTTTTTTTACTATTACATTATTTTCTACCATATGCTCTTAATTGCCATATTCTTGTTTTTATTAATTGCTGTATTCTTAGTGATGTCATTCTTATTTCTATTATCTATTACCCTAAATTATTGCCCCAATTTATAGCTGAGCAAACTGAAGCATAGAGGTGCCATGGGAAGTCATGTTATCCCCAAACTTGCCTTTGGAAGTCCTAACTCTAGCTCAGAATGTGATTGTATTTGGAGAGGTCTTTACAGAGGTAATTAAGTTAAAGTGAGGGCATTAGGGTGGGCCCTAATCCAATCCAACTGGTGTTCTTATAAGTAGAGGAGATTGGGACAGAGGGAAGGCACAGAGGGAAGACAGCCTGTGAAGACACAGGGAGAAGCCATCTACAAGCCAAAGGGAGAGACCTACTCTGCCAACACCTCGACCTCAGATTTCTAGCCTCCAGGATTTTGAGAGAATGAATTTCTGTTGCCTAAGCTGCCAATCCATGGCATTTTGTATGGCACCCCTAGCAAACTCATATAAGAGGGATCAAATGGTTTACATAAGATCACACAGCTAATAAGTAGCAGAGCCCAAGATATAAAGCCCAACCTTCTGCATCCAAATCATGTGTTCTTTTCTCTGTGCTGCCAATGCTTTTCAGGAACACACACCACGGGGAACTTTGCAGCCTCTCAGTTAGAGGATATTAGAGAGGACTTACTGCATTCATGAATTTGGGTGCAGAAGATTTTTATGGCTGTCTTTTCTCTGGATTAGATATTTTTAGGAAGTAGACGTAATCTCTGATTGGGTGTCATATCTAGAAGGAGGGAAAAATGAAGTGAAGCTAAACCCGCGACTGGTAATGAAGCAGCCGTCACTTGTTACTGGTCAGTGTAGCTGGATATTTGGGTATTTGGGGGTTTTAGATCGTGTGCGTGTTCTCATCTCTGCTCAGACGTGATTTAGGAGTGGTCTTGTTTTTGTCTTCATTTATCACGGTCACGAATTGGTTACACTGATGATGTTCAGCACCAAAAACTGCATTTGCCAAATCTCGTCTCATTACTAACACAAACTACAAGTTCTTTCTGTCGCTTAAAACAAATTTTTTTTTCAGGAATGGCTGGGAAAAGTCCAACCGAAGTTGCTGATAACATAATCGATGCCATTGTAGACTTCACACGGAAACACTCCACCCCATCATTAAAAACAGTTAAGGTTGTCATCTTTCTAGATAAGCTGCTCCCTGTATTCCACGACTGCATGAAAAAAAGAAACATCTCTGCATCACCTGTCGCGCCGTTCATGCTCAAGGCTGCGCGTAAGATGTGCATTTTTAAAAATCACAAGGTTGTCTCTACTATCACTTAGAAAATGTTTCAATATGAATGTTCGCTGGTTTATAATTTTCTATCAGTTATAGGACTTTATAGACAACTTCTTCTGATACATGGGGAAAGTATAAGAATTAAGGAACAGAACTTCTTGTCAACTGATTATTTTTTCTGAGAGGGAAAATCACGCCTGGGAAAAAAGAATAGCAAATGGATGGGAAGAGAATAAAAGTGAGAAAGCAGACAGGGGAGTACGCCATGAAAGGTCTAGCTGATAGTTCCATTATTTATTTATTCATTGGTATTGACCCTCAATGCCCCTTGTAGCTATGAACTAGCTGATCAATATATTTTATTGACCACCCACCTCTACACAAGGTAGTCTGGACATAGAAGCAGAGGCAAGAAGGGAGTGGCCCTTCTAGTTGTACTACATCAAGAGAGATGCCCAGTGGCTACTTTGACAGGTGTATTTGCATTTTATGTGTAAGTATCACTGTCAATCCGTTCTCTGATTTGGCCTTCCCCATTTTGTGGCCTCTGTACTGCAGTTAAAATAACTAGTTTCAGCTTCCTCTCACGGTTACCATTCGCACTCTCTTGGACACTCATCCATAAAGCATTGTGCATTTTGCTGGTGATGAGGCCCATGTGCCGTCAGCAGCTGCCCTTCACAGAGATTGTCATCTGCTGTTCTCAGCCAGGATTTCAGTTTTCTCTGCTTTCATTTCCTGAAATATCATGCCAGGGAACAGAGCTCTCGTTTAAGCTCTGAGATTCTTTCTGATTGGACCAACTTGGGTCATCACCTCACAAACTGGAACTGCACAGCCAAACCAGAGTCACGTGCTCCATACACATTTGAGCTGGAGGGGAATCACTGTCTGAGGCAACTTGGGACAGTTGTTCCCCAAGGGACATTGAAAATGCTTTCACCAGAAGGAAGAGAAAGAATGTCAGGCAGTTAAAAATACTATGTACCTCTTCTAGTATCCCGGGATAGATTCCCTTTGGTGTTGTAGAGGAAAATTTTTATTTAAGAGCATTAAAAAAAAGTTAAATGGGTTCATGCACTCCCTGCTTTCATCAACATTTTAAAGGAACCTATGAAATTTAAAAAAGAAAACAGTGAAGTTAAAGAGAGAAGCAAACAAAAAAATGACTAAAATGAGCACACGATGGACTGTAGGAAACACCTGGGTTGTTAAAACAGTGAAAGAAAGTCCAGCCTGAGCTTTGAGCACCTGAGGGACAACCAACAGCAACCACGTGATATAATCTTTGTTGTTAGAAAAAAGAAATAATACAGGTAAAATATCAGATAAAAGGAAGCTTGTTGACCCAGATACATTTAAACCTTCTTAAGAATTTACCAGATGGCCCTCTTTAAAAGAGCTTAAAGAGGTTAGCTTTGAGCTTCATTTGGGCAGATGATATATATTACTTTTAAAATGTATGTTAAAGCTATTTATTGAGGCAGAGAGCATTTATTGCACACCAACTGTATATCAGATACTAGAGATATAGATTTGGGAAGTCATGTGCACAGGTGGGAGTTGAAGCCCTTAAGTATGAATTGGTTTTTCCATGGACAGTATCAGGAAAACTAAAGGAAGAGCTGGGATTTGGGGTTGCTTGTTTTTTGGAGATAGGGTCCTACTGTGTCACTACAGCTTGTGACTCCTGGGCTCAAGCTGTCCTCCTGCCTCAGCCTCCCAAGTAGTTGAGACAGCAGGAGCACACCACCATGCCTCACTAATTTTTTAAAATTTTTTTTATAGGTTTCACATTTCCCGGTGTCACTCAGCCTGGTCTCAACTTCCTGGCCTCAAGCAATCGGCCCACCTCAGACTTCCCAAGTGTTAAGATTAACGGTATGATCCACCATGTCCAGCATGATGCTCGGTGTTTAATCCCATCTCCACAGATGGAGGGGAGACAGGCAGGGTGGGTCCAGAGAGCTGAGGGAAGGTTTTTATCCTGAACACCGGGAATGTGAGAGTAGAATTTATCTTTTAAAAGAGATCCATGGAAAAGGGTTCAGGGAAGTGCCGGGCATGTGGCAAACACATGAGGAAAGGCAGCTGCGTGTGATTGTCCCTGAAGCACTAGGCTTGCAGAACACATGCTCAAGAGGACAAAATTCTCTTCCTTACTTTGATGATGACCCTCCATGTAATGTGGACGAGTGAGTCTTCAACTTTCTTGGAAATTCGTTTCCTGTTCTCTAAATTGTCTAGCTAGGGTGACCTTTTGTACATGGGTAGATAAAGGTGAAATTTAAATGTCTTTCCTCTCTGGCTTTATACTTGACTTCCTTTTAAATTACATATACTTCTGGAATGTAAAAAAAATCAAACTTAATCAGTTTTTAAGAATAATAACCATGGGCGGCTCCTGGAGCTCAGTGAGTAGAGAGCCGGCCCCATATACTGAGGGTGGCAGGTTCGAACCTGGCTCTGGCCAAACTGCAACAACAAATAGCCAGGCATTGTGGTGGGTGCCTGTAGTCCCAAATACCTGGGGGCTGAGGCAAGAGAATCACCTCCGTGCCTCACTAATTTTTTAGCCCAGGAGTTGGAGGTTGCTGTGACCTGTGATGCCATAGCACTCTACTGAGGGCAATAAAATGAGACTCTGTCTCTAAAAAAAAAAAAAAAAGAAGAAGAATATCGGTATGTTTATAAAGGACTTGGCATTCCCTAAAGTGCTTTCAGACCCCTTATTGTATTTTCACGTTATAACGATTCTGTGAAGTTACAGAGGCAAATAAAGAAGATTTTATAATTTCCATTTCATAGATGAGAAAATGAAAAAGCTCTGAAGTAGCATCCCTAGTTCCAAGTCACATGGCTGGTCACAGGCTGAGGCCGATCTGGTCTTCTGATTTCAATCCCTGACAGCATTCTGCTCTCCCATCTCATGGCATGAAAAGAATAGAGACCCTAAAGGAAATCTCCACTTACTTCCTAGGCTTGTCTGTGTATTCAGGGGAAAGAAAGTAGCAAGTCCAAAAAGACCCTGAGGCCTAGAACTAGAGGTGATTCTCCAAAAGATCCTGAAGGAGGTAGACAGTGGGGGAAGGAAGGAACATAATTTGTATTAAGGTCCCACCCTATTAATTGGAAACGTCTAAAGAAAACTCTTAAAATGGAATTGGAAAGGAGTTTACTGATTAGAGCTCCTGGCCCCCTGTGTCAGCAGAGTTCACCCTGGATGAGGAAGAACATCTCCTAAATCCCTTTCTGAGGCCTGACATGTCTTTGACTACCAGTGAGTAAATTATGGCTTTGTTTTTAGGGAAGAAATCCTGTGGGTTTTACCTGTGGCATTTTATTCTATAATGTAATCTGTCCGTATTTATAGTAGTCATGCCCTCTTAGCAAGTGATACGAGCCATAGTATTTTCGAAGTTCCTGGAAGCCATTAGAAAAGCCATCAGAAAAGGACAACTTTGATGTCACCTTATATGAAAGGATTCTCTTAGCTCATCTGCTATTTTCTTTATGTGTGGTGCTTTCTCTACTTAGTGTAAAAGTACATACAGAACAATGTGCTTTAAATATCTTTAGCAGGGTAATCATTTTTCTAAAGAAAAACAACCACACAAAATAAAACTGTAAACAGTGAAAGCATCAGTAAATTGACATCTGTGGTTATATATCAGCTTCCTAATGGGATTAAGTCCACAGAACCTTCTGGGAAAATTAAAATTTTAAACTACAATGTTTATGTAAGTATTTTAGCTGCACTATTAAATAGTACATCATGTGTCATATTGGCATCAGACTCTTCACTTCATCTGAGTTCACTCAATGGAAGCTAATTTAAAAAGCAACTATGAAATGTGTATCTTACCAAGAGCACAGGGGGTACCCTCATTTTCAGAGGTCCCTGGAAATTATGTCATGTTTTCAATAAATACTGACTTTCTAGATAATATTCCTGAACACTGGACTGCCATGAATCATCAGCTGTATTGTGTGGTCCCGCTGCAGCCTGGACAATCAGAATATAACACTGTGGAGGACAAGTTCACTGAGACTTGTTCTTTACTGATAGAGAAGGTAATATTATATGAAAAATTTACTGTTTGAAAATGTTAAAACTAACATGAAAGTCATCTTTTTTTTTTTTTTTTTTTTTACTAATCCCCTTTCTTTCTTTGTAAGAAATTACATTACAATTCCATGTTTATTGTAATTGGAATGAGACCTAGCTTCATAGACTTCAAATCTCATGATTCATTGATTGGCAGCAATGAAGGAATGAGGTCACATGTATGTGTTAGAATACTTTCAGTTGCGGCTAGGCGCCTATAGCTCAACCGGCTAAGGCGCCAGCCACGTACACCTAAGGTGGCGGGTTCAAATCCCCAGCCCGGACC